CCTGATGTTGATCTCGGACTTAAGTAGGGGTGAATGCGTTGAACCTCCAAAAAGACAGTTTTACTTGCGGAAAAACCACCTTTTGGGTGGCGATTTGTTTCGGAAATTGCAATTCCTTTGTTTTTACCTAGGATAGAAAATGATTTGAGAGACTGAGGAGAGGCATCCCTCAGTTGACCCAGTGGCGGATGGCTTGTGTGAGTTGGACTTGCAAGGGTGCGGTGAACAATGAGTTTTCTTACGGCAACATAGATGTTTCAAAACGAATTGGACCCCCCTTTGGACTGTGCGAAAGGGAAAGCGGCATGAACCTGTTTCCTTTTCGGAGGGTTGTCTAGTTGACGCCACAGGGGCTGGGGGAACCAATTTGAGCAGGTGACAAAGGTATTGGTAGACGATTGTCAGTTTGAGGAGCACGCGACCAGGGAGATAACAGCTTCCCGCATCGTCTTGGGGGGCAAAGCTTATTGTCCGTGGCTATGTACGATGAACGTAGAATCGTTTTCCGAGTCCCTTCCTCGGGAAGGGGCCTGAAAAAGGTGGGCCATGGTTTCCTTTTGAAGGTGGCCCAATTTTGGTTTGTACAGGATCTTGAAGAATTCATTTGCCGCACCAGACCTTCCTATTGGCTTGACAGGAGGCGCAGGAGATCTTCCGCGCACTGGACTGCGGGCACTGCGACGAGGCGCCAAAGTGAACCTGGCTGGCAGCGTGCAAAGGGAAATGCGCTATGAGTCTCTTAAAGTAGGTTCTGACAAACAACGTTTGGGGGTACGGGGGCAGCTTCTTTGAAACCACCATTTGGAGGGACATGTTGGAAGTATTATTCTGCTGGTTGGAGCGCGCTGACGTTGATCCAGTGTGGCAGCCTGGTGCTGGGCTTCTTGGCAGGCTTTGACAATCTTTGGGAGAATTCTCAAAGTTGTTGGGGAATCAAAGCGAAGTCTTGGGAGAATTCGGGACTCAAGTATCCAGGGCCGGGAGACTTGTTGACTCTTCTTCGCGTTAGTCTTGTTGCGAATCAAGCGAACTGATTCAAGCTGCCCGTTTCCCCTGTCACGCCCACGTTGCTCGAAATCTATCGGTTGAGAAGGTCGCAGAAGGTCGGAGAAGGTCACGGGTTTCACGTCGAAGTGGATGCATTTCCAGGTGCACTACAGCGAATTCTTGGCCGCGATGGTTTCCTCGCGCATTGCCATGTGCCTCCGGCGGGTTTGAAGGCTCTACAAGCCGAGTCACTGACAACATTGGTAGCCGCCTATTGGTTCGGGGAGGAAATGTGACGACCCACATTCCACACGAACGCTAGGTCGCAAATTGGCCCCGCAATTTTACTACCGCTCATACTCCCCCCCCCCCCCCCCCGAAGGAAGCTGTGGAAGCCCTGTGGACTGGAACCAATGGATTTTCCAGGAGGACAGTTCCCTGAGAGAATGAAGTTGGGCACAACCGAATTTCAGTTGAAAAGTGGGGTCGTCCTTGGCTCATTTGAGGCTGGGTTTTTGTTTGGGCGATCCAGCCAGCGGGACCAAACGACAGCTTGAATGCTCTCACAATAGGTAGGTAGGTAGGCACGCAGGCAGGCAGTCGCGTGGGTGGATTGTGTTCTGTTAAAAGTTTCACTTTGGCCAGGAGGAGCGTTTTTTTTTGGGCTTTGAGGATTGCCCGGCCCAGGCACGACCAGTTGCTGCGGGCTGCCTTTGCGCGGTTTGACGTCGTGCCGCAGCGGCAACGTGAGAGGGCCGGGGTAATTCGCAACCATCTACGCACTGCTCGGCGTGGAATGGGGCACATAACCACTACAGAACCTGCCCCCGCAGAATCCCAGGAGTGGACATATTCAGGGAAACCAGGTTGTGGGTATGAGGTTTTGATTCCACTTCTGTGAAGTTCTGATCACAAGTGGATTGGCGGGATTTTGCAGTTGGTGTGGTTCACTTGCCATATGTCGGGAATCCACTGGAGCCTGCACCTCACTTTAGGAGAAACATGCCTTCACCTATGGAGGAAGTACAGCACATGGCAGCAACCTTCGCATTCGGGGCTGATCCAAGGCGTGACAGCTGTTTGGAAGGCATGCCGCATGGTTTTCACTTGTCAGCTTGCAATGCTCATTTGCAACTCCTGCCCTTTTGGACCAACTACACCATTGTTGAAGCTCCTGTCTTGATGCGAAAGCTGTTTGGGGGACTCACTGAGTTCCCACAGAAGCCAGGACGTTCATTTCAGGCCGCCAATTTTGGGGCTGAGGACGGCAACGGGTACATCAGCCGCAAGAGCCTTTTGAAGCTCCTGGGGGACTCCTTCGAGGGTGCCACAGTGGACGAGCTGCTGAGGGAGGTGGACCCTGAAGACACCGGTGCTGTGCCGACGCCTTAGAGCGTGGGCTCGGGATCGAGAAGATGTCGAGTTTTTTTGAGACTCGGTATGCGTGGGGGAAGGGACACTGGGCTGGGGGGTTCCTGTTTACCCATATGCCAAAGGAACACACGAACAATAATTTTGCAAGGGAAAGCCCAGACTGCACGTATTGAGCAGCTGTTGGGGATGGTGGTGCCAAACACTTCAAGCAACTTTACAGTCCCGGTTCACAATTTCAATGAACACTGCTGGTCGATCACCAAAACATTCGAATGCGCTTGCTCGCCGGTGAAGGCCTTCGGTGGCTACCAGCAAGTGAGCTTGAATGTGTGCGTTGTTTCTACTCGTGGCCTTGAAACCTAAGTGGGTCCTGACGGTATCTTGGTGGATTCGGCCCCAGGAAGTCCAGTCGAAAGAAACACCAGTGGCACCGTGTTTTGCGGGCTGAGATGGCAGCCTCTGTAAAATGTCAATGGGACATTAGCAACCTCCTACCCCCCCCCCCCCCCTCACAGGAAGGTTTTGGAACTCCAAGAACCCTTGCGCAGTTTGTTCCCCATAAGCGCGCGGACCTCTCGCCTTGCCAGGTCCTACGAACAGTTTGTGGCCTATCTTCGGAGCAGCAACGCCCAGGCCGAGTCTCAGAGTCTGAATGGGCCAAGTACCTTCCAGGTCCCATTGGACACTCGCTTTTTGCGCAGGAGGTTCCCATGCGGATATTTTGGCCTTCCCATGCCGCGCACGGTGGTTAGACTCCTTTCCCAGATGGTTGTGACTCAGACGGTGTGGGCTGTTCTCTCACAGTGGGAGGCATCTAGGAACAGGCATTGGCTTTACAGCATCGCCTGTCCAATGCTTGCCCCACTTCCTTTCCTTGCACAAGCAGCCGACCTTTAGATGCAGAGAGTAGAAAGCATGTGGCATGTGCTGTTTTTCCGCCTGCTGGCCAACCGAGTTCCCTTCCAAATTCACTTAAACACGGCCAGCAGGCGGATGGGACTTCGTTCCGATGTGTTTGGACGAGCTCTGAGGCCCGCAATGAGGGAAGCAAAGGGAAGGACTTTCCCAATTCTGTTCAGCCCGGGCCGAGGAGGCAAAGATTTGTGGAAATCGCTTTGGCGAGACCGAATGTCAATCTCTTTGTCAGCCTGGTATCAGTCCAAAAGCAAGCGATTCAGGCATTGTGGCAGGCTTTGTGATGGCCGTCCAATTCCCCGCGTTGGGAGGTGTTCGCAAGAGGGCTGTGAGGGGAAGACTGACGGAATGTCTGGACAGCCTAAACAGCTCCCCCGCAGATTTGGAGGAATCTCCTTTTGGGGCAACCTCTTTTCGGGTTCCATGTTAATTTGCGGGGGAACAAACTCCGCCTGCTGGCTAGGAGGCACACATGGATGTGGTGAACCAAGTCATTGATGATCTCAAGCGTGCCAGGGACTTGGCACAGCATATGTCGCGGTCAGCATTGAGAGACAATCTCAAAGGGCGTCATCGATTTTGAGGCTACTATTGGTCCGTTGGTTCGTTGGTCGGTTGGTTGGCTGGCTGGCTGGTTTGGTCGCTCGGTCGGTCTGGTGGCGGGCTGGCTGGATGGTCGAACCTTTGAGTGGTTTCTTTTGGGCGGGTACCCAGCCAGGAGCTGGAAGTCGAGGGGAGTACCACCTCTTAGCCCGACTGAGGAAGACGGCGGCGGCGAGGTGAAGCGAAGACGCATCGATTCAAGCGAGTCGTGAGAAAGCACCGATTGCGCGATTGCCCCGCCAGTTTTTTTTTGCTTTTTGGCTCGGCCGTCGCGTGGTTGGCTGGACCACGGGGCTTTGCTTAAGCCGTTGGAGAATCCTGCGAGCGCTGTCACATTGGCCGCATTCGATTTGGAGGTGTTTGCTAATCAGAGGAGGTTGCCGGGAAGTCTTCTGGTCCTGATCTGAACACAGCTGGGGGCTGTCTCCAGATTTCAAGCTCCAAAATGGCAAGGGCACGCCCACCTGGACATCAGGGGAATGGCGTCAACGGACCAAGCATTGGATATGAACTCACGCGCGTACAAACACGTAGGACTCCGCAGATTGGATGGTCAACAAAATGGGTTATGGGCCAAACGTGCAGACAGGGGCCTTGTCCACTAAAAGTAGGACCATTGTGCAATGACAGCTTTCTGACGCTTTGACTCACTCCACAATCCCTGCGATCTGGGAGCTGGAGTCGTGGACATTTTTATCAAATTCTCTGTGAATGGTTTTGGGTGGACTTTGGTATCAGCTTTCGATCACGACCCAATGATTCCGATTGGTCGGTTTTCAGATGGCAAGCCTGATGACATTGGTGTGTCTGAAATTGTAGACCTTGTGGAACGGTCATGACAGTCCTCTGAGAAGCAGTAGCGAACTTGTTGCTGTCCATGGAAAGTCCTAGGAGGACCTAAGGCTTTGCAAGTTCATCTCGATGGCAATTCGACACCTTTCCTGCCGATCTGGGGGGGGGGCAGCATTTGGTCAAGAATCCTCTTTTGGATGTTCCTTACCGGGAGCCAAAATTATCCAAGCGGAAAGCATACTTGCAGGGATCCGATTTCTTGATTGGAAACTCTCATCTCTCCCCTCAAGGCTCCCACGAAGTGGGGCTTGCCGGGAAATCTGTGCCAGGACAAGCTTAGCGCCGGGTTGCCCAAAGTGAAATCGCAGAAGGACTCGTTTGCCAGACATGGCTTCTTCGCTGCTTTTGCTTTGTTCACGGCAGTTGGCTTCTTGCTTCCACTCTTTGTCCTTCCAGAGATGCGAGGTTGAGTCGCTTGTTGGTTGCCGCTGTAAGATGCTCTATTGGAGCAACGGTCATTTGCTGTGGTGAGCAGCATGCTGGTTGTATGCACAAGCATTATACAATGAGGCAAAAGGAGTTGCCCACCAAAATCCAATGTCAGTTGGGCCACACTGACCATTGGCCGTGGTGCCTTTACTTGCCGGCCGTTGCACTTGCAGATGGTCGTGAGCTCGACGCATGGGACTTCAGGGCCGCGAGCATGACGAACCCGCTCCGGCGTCAACTCAATCTGCTTCAGTAACCAGCAGGATCGTTTTGCAGCTGCCAAGGGAGTCTGGATGTGCAGAAAGCAAGTGGCTAAGTAGTTTGTTGGCTTCACTGCCTTTTCCATTTCAAGCAGATAAAAATTTCCCATGAATACCGCCCGAATTTGTGTAGACAACATCTTTTCAACCTTTTCCCTTTTGACACTCTGGGTCACGTCCTGAAACCTGATCATGTTTCATGCCTTTTGAACGGAAGGTAGGTTCTTGTGCCTCACACTCGGGCGCCAGAATTCCTGGTGTCATGCTCCAAGCTGGGCATCGGTTCTACCTTGGCTTGCAGATCCGAAAACCTCGCAAGCGCCCACCTTGTGGCCGCCAAGATCATGGCTTCGCGTTGTCCCGTGTTCCCCAGCTGAAAGCTGAGGGGTCTCAGCCGTATGCCGTTATCACCCCAGCTGATTTGGTTGTGGGTCAACACCTAAGGTGCCTGTTTGTGGATGGTTCCCACTCCACTGCCGTCCTCTGCTCCATTTCCTGTCTCCAAAAACCGGGCGCTGGGCGCGCGGAAGGCCCGGCCGCGCCTGGAGCTGCGGAAGCCGAGGCGGGGGAACTTTGAGTCCCGGCTGGCGCAGGCGGGAGCTGGGGAGCTGGGGAGGGGTGGGTGTGGGGGGGAGGGGAGGAGGTGGGGTTGGGGAGGGGGGGAGGTTTTAAGTTCGCATCCGAGATAATCCCATGATGGCGCGAAATGCGAGCGTTTCGAGCATTTCTGGCAACCCTTGTGAGAACTCTGTAGGCCGTGGTGGCCATTATGTTCCTCTTCCAGGTTTTTGTTCAACATCACGTTTGGGAAGGACAATTCAAAGCCCTTTTGGCGGGTGAATTGGTTGGACAGTTCAACTTCTTCAAGCCCATGGGGCTTCCGAAGAGGGACAAACGTGGTTGATGTCCTTCTTCGTTCCTTTTGTGGAGAGACACGCATGCTCAAGCCAACATATCGGGTCAACAACATGGCGGGTTTGGTCGAATGACGGCTTCTGTCAAGCGATATCCACCCACTTCAAGTCAGTGTGCAACTTAGTGGGCGGGACAGTATATTCATGCTGCCGCCTGGCCGCAAAAGCAACTGAACAAGACACATTCTTTTGCGGCCTTGAAACAAGTAGATCCACGCGTTCCCCTTTTGCAGGGAAGCCAAAAGCAGACTGTTCAAGGAATGTTTCCTGCTGCAGCAAACATAATATTTTTAGTGGCCCCAAGTGTGACTGAGGAGGGTGAACCCGAGTTGTGTCCAGCAAAACAGACATCTTTTCCGGTTCAAAGGCCTCTGTTTAATCAGAACCCATTCAAACTTTGCATTTGTTCGCCAGTGTTGATGTCACACCTTGGCGTTCAATTCACATTGTTGATGGTGGCCTCGTTCACGAGATGGGGGTGTTGAGGGGAAATTCCTCAACCATTCCTTCACCACTCCTCGTTTACCCTGGATTGGCTGAGCATAGGGAGGGTCAACAGCAGCCGCGCGGAAGGTTGCAGCCAACTTGGAGCGCGGTTCGAAGGACGTGGGGTTATGGGTTGATTGAGTAACTGGAGGCACCAGTGAGATGACCTTTTTGTTGACCAGGTTCTGAAACACAGCTACGCAGAATGCAGAACTGAGGGTTTGCTTTCCCTGGAAGAAGGCACCAAATGTTTGCCATTGCGGAGGGTGGCAAAACTTGATGCGTGCATCTGGCTGTCGAACTGGACGAGTGTCTGACTATTGAAGGGCAAGATATGCAACCGCTTCCCGCGAAATGCCACGGGCCCTGACACGAGGCGCAGCTTGAACAGGGGTACCCAGCACACTAGAAGCTCTTGCTCACGGGGCGCCAATTGGTCTTGGTAGACCCTGATAGAGGGACGTGCAAGATGCCTGTGCTGCATTGGTGACTGCCTTGAAAAGTGATGCCATCGGCACGTCCAGTGTTGGACATGGAGGTCATGTCTAGTTCAACAGAGATTCAAAGAAAATGTGATCAGCGCGGCACCACATGCCAGGGTAAAACTACGGGTAAAACTAGTGATGGAGCAGGAGTGATCCTTGTTTGTCTAAAGACCGCAACACCCAATTCCAAGAAACCCTTCCCCTACCACCCACCACCATGAAGCTCCCAACAAACCACCACCGGGCAAGTCTTTGCCTTCCATCACGCATGAACGTCTCGAAACAAAACAAACCACCTGAGCCACCGAGCCAGCGTGAAGGCCAGCTCTTGAGAATTGAGCCATGGCACGGCTGCTTCTGCTGCTGCAGCTTGGGCCGGCTTCCGCTGCCGGAGTAGTGGAATACCTCACGGAGGGCACTGGACGCCTTGCTGGGAGAACGGGGGGGGGGATTGGCGGAGACGGCCCCAAAGTTCCACCTTGCGAAGTGTTTGATGGCCAGGCTCCTTTTGCGGTTTAGAGATTCCCCGCGTTCTTTTTTTCCGTTCAACGGGCATGGCTCGGGGTGTGTTGGGCTTGACGGGCGAGGCCGTGTCTGGCTTCTAGCGGGAAGTTGTTACAAAGCACAGGCAAGCCAACGAGCGGGAATGCCCACCTGCGTGAAAGGATTTACAGCCACAGCAATACGGCCCATGAAACTTCTGAAGCAGCATCCTCGGAGGATGCACATGAGCATGATACCTGAAGAGCGGTGGGGGGAGGTTTTCCCGAAAGCATCGCGAAGGGTTCTTCCGTGCGGAGCCCTTGGACAAGCTACACAGAGCCAAGTTGCACAGAGCCAAGTTACATAGAGCCAAGTTACATAGAGCCAAGTTACATAGAGCCAAGTTACATAGAGCCAAGCTACATAGAGCCAGGTTGCATAGAGCCAAGTTACATAGAGCCAAGTTACAAAGAGCCAAGTTACATAGAGCCAAGTTACATAGAGCCAGGTTACATAGAGCCAGGTTACATAGAGCCAAGTTACCATAGAGCCAAGTTACATAGAGCCAAGTTACATAGAGCCAAGTTACATAGAGCCAAGTTACATAGAGCCAAGTTACATAGAGCCAAGTTACATAGAGCCAAGTTACATAGAGCCAAGTTGCATAGAGCCAAGTTACATAGAGCCAAGTTGCATAGAGCCAAGTTACATAGAGCCAAGTTACATAGAGCCAAGTTACATAGAGCCAAGTTACATAGAGCCAAGTTACATAGAGCCAAGTTACATAGAGCCAAGTGGCACAGAGCCAAGGTTAGGTAGAGCTTGCGTAGAGCTTCGGCGTAAGCAGCTATGTAAGTTAGTTTAGGTTTCTAAGGCGCCGGGGCGGGAGTTTGATCATCGCTCGGGATTGCGACCCTCTGCGGAGATCCGCGTGGTCGATGTTAAAAAACTGAGGACTTTTGTGGTCGAGGTCAAAAAACTGGGGACTTTTTACGATTTCTGCAAGCCGCGCGCGACTCGCGTGGTCGAGGTTCAAAAACTGGGGACTTTTACGATTTTTGACATGCGCGCGCGACCCTCTGCGGAGATTCGCGTGGTCGAGGTTCAAAAACCGCGGACTGTTTACGATTTCTGCAAGCCGCGCGCGACCCTCTGCGGAGATTCGCATGGTCGAGGTTCAAAAACTCAGAACTTTTACGATTTCTGCGGTCCGCGCGCGACCCTCTGCGATTATTCGCGTGGTCGAGGTTCAAAAACTGAGGGCTTCTTACGATTTCTGCGGTGCACGCGCGACCCTCTGCGCGTCGAAGCGCTTTCACTGTGGCGCCGTGCGTATTTGTCTTAGTCTCGGCGAACCCTCTGCGGAGATTGTGCATGTCGAAGCGCTCTCGCTGTGGCGCCGTGCTTTTCTCTCGCTCGCGAAACGGCCTTTGGAAGTTGTCTCATGGTTTGCGCACCTGCTTTCGCAATCCCACGGTCGCGGGCTCGATTCCCCCCTGGTGCGCGGCAGCTCCGGCTCGAAAATCGCAGCTTCTATGTACAAACGTAGTACGCGGAGCGCCTCCGCAGCTCCAGCTGCAAATTTGTAACTTTTAAGTACATACGTAGCGCGGGTGTGTGCACAGCGCAGGCTGCTTGTGCGCAGATACAAGGGCCGAGCGTGTGGCCATGAAGCCAAGTTACATAGAGCCAAGTTACATAGAGCCAAGTTACCATAGAGCCAAGTTACCATAGAGCCAAGTTACATAGAGCCAAGTTACATAGAGCCAAGTTACATAGAGCCAAGTTACATAGAGCCAAGTTGCATAGAGCCAAGTTGCACAGAGCCAAGTTGCACAGAGCCAAGTTGCATAGAGCCAAGTTGCACAGAGCCAAGTTGCACAGAGCCAAGTTGCACAGAGCCAAGTGGCACAGAGCCAAGTGGCACAAAGCCAAGTTACACAGAGCCAAGTTGCACAGGACCAAGATACATAGCGTCAAGTTACATAGAGCCAAGTTGCACGAGCCTGCTTTGCAGAAGCTGTTGCATCGATGTAAAAGGGCATCTCCGCGGCTGGAAAAGCGCATGATGGGAAACGTTTGGGGAAAATGCTTTCGGGCCAATCGTCCTCTAGTTGAAGGCCCTTGTTTTGCCCATTGCGCATCTGTTTCCAGGTGGCTTGTTGCTTGGAGTCTGTGATTTGGATGACTCTGCGGTGCTTTCAATGCGCTTGGCCGTTTCCGTCGCAAGCCGCCAATCTCCACAACCATCATTCCGGGCCATTCCCAAGTGCTAGGCAGATCGCCTTTTCTGCTTGGTCCCCTACTTAGCCTATTTCATTCCTGTTTGGGCCTGGTGGTCTCTTGTGGAAGGGCTGAAGAAAAAATTGAACAACTGGGGCAAACCGCAGGTTGCAGTCTGTGGTTTCATCTACCTTGTGGTGCTATTTTGGTACATTTTTTGGTGCGCAGCACGCCTTTCAGCCCTTGTGGCTCGAGGCTTCCGTTGCGCCGTGCACCGCTTTGACGTGGGCCAGACCCGGCGGGAGGTGAGCTGCTGGGGGCAGAATGACCGAGGCCAGTAGACGGGTCTGGGACGCCTTTTTGGGGGTGAGGAAGAACCAGCGGACAAGTAAAAGTGCCTGGCGTCGCGCGGAAGTTCGCTACTTTGGTGCTGTTAGAGAACAGCGCCGAGGGCCCCGGAGAGGACGGAGATGGGATCGGGCCGGGTTTGGGTTTCATTGTGGGTTTCTCTTTGGTTTGCCGGTGAAAAGCGGCAAAGCATCCCCAGGCTTAGGAGACCCCGGTTGGGTGCTTGTGGGAAGGCAGCTGACTGGTTTTTTAACATCCAGGCCAGGAACCTGGTTGAGGACTTCCAGCATCGATATGGCATGCCAAACGTCAGCATCGCCGCATCATGGACCCTGAAAGAGCAACACCCAGGGGCGGCCATTTGGCCTCAAGATGGCGGTATCTTTGCGGCTGCCTGTTGAAATCACCATGAATCACAACAAGGGGATATGAAAAAGACACTTCCTGATACTTGGCTGCCGGCTTAGATCTGTGGAGCCCCCAAATCTATGAGGTTCCAGGGGCAAGGTTGGGTCAGCAGTTGAAACTATATATAAATATATACACATTGATGTGTTTGTCTTTTTCAGGGTACCCTTGTGGAGGTTGCGAGTTGTACAATCAAGGAAAGCACACCATCTGTGTGTTTTTCTTGTTTCAAGCAGGGGCGTCCTGCCTTGGGACAAACCCATCTGCTTCCCCTCGCCTCAGGCCAGCTGGGTCAAGGCGACACCATGCCCCGCCAGGCGCAGGCGCAGGGCGCTTCCTTTGTGAAGGGAGCAACACGGTGGTTATGGGTGGGAAAGAAAAAGGGTGGTTGTGGGTGAAATTCCTTTTAAGGTTATGGGTGTTGAACGAATAGCTTAATCATGAGCTGACAGCGCAACTGATTGTTTGTTTTTTTGGTGGGAGAAGCGGGGGCCGCACCCCCCAAACTTACCACCAAGTTGATGTTAGCAATGGTTGAGAGTCACCGTCCCAGATGACATACCTTACACTCACCAGATTAACGTGATAAAATGTCGATGTCTCTCACCCAATGTCCCTGTTATAGGAGGAGATCTGCTGAACATGGACCGAGCCTCTTTTGGCCATGGACAGCACTTCTTTTCTCTTTAACAACCGAGAGCAAATGTGGGAAATAGAGAACAAACAGCTCCGTCTTTTTGGGCCTCCCGTTTTCATGAGGCACAAGCCAACCAATCAGCCAGCCAGCCAGCCAGCCAGCCAGCCAGCCAAACCAATCCAACCCAACCAATCCAACCAATCCAGCCAATTCAACCAATTCAACCAGTCCAAAGCAACCAACCAACCAAGCAAGCAAGCGAGCGAGCGAGCGAGCGACCAACCAACCAACCAACCAAAAAGAAAGCACACAACCAACCAAACTAAAACACAACCAACCAAAAAGAAAACACACAACCAACCAAAAATGAAACACAACCAACCAAAAATACGACGCACAACCAACGAAAAATAAAAAAACACAACCAACGAACAATAAAACACACTTTGTTAATGTTGAAACGCATGTGGAAACATGAACTGTGTTTGGAATGCTTGACCACAATGGCATGTGCCATTTTGGCTCAAGCATTG